ATAAAATCGTTAAGATATGAATTTTATTATTATCATCTTATTATTAAGAAGGAAAACTCTGACTTTTTTAAAAGCTGAACTTTGTCTAAAGTATGTTATTTTCAAATTCATTCCGTGACCTTAACCTAATATATTTTTTTTAAACTTATGTTCCAGATTTTTGGCTACAGGTGAATCTTTTCGGTCTTTGTCGTTTTCTTTCCGAATTTCTTACAGCTATATTAGCGTAATAGTGAAAGAAACGTTGGCAGCATTAAAAAAAATGTTAATGCCATTATTTTTGCCAAATCCCAATACTATCGACTATAAAGTTAAAGCTAATGAATTTTACACGAAATGGAACTTTCCAAACTGCATTCTTGCGATTGACGGAAAACACGTAAGAATCCGATGCCCTAATAATTCAGGCTCTTTGTATTTTAATTACAAAGATTATTTTTCTATTGTATTAATGGCAATGGTTGACGCGAACTACAAATTTATTGCGATCGATGTTGGCTCGTTTGGAAGAGAAGGGGATAGCGGAATATTTTTAAAATCTAATATGGGACAGCAAATTTTAAATTGTACGTTTAAATTTCCACAGGATTGTGCACTTCCCAATACAAATTTAGTAGTACCTCATGTAATACTTGGCGATCAAGCATTCAGATTACATAAACACATATTACGACCATTTTCACAAAAATCAGCTAGAGGGGATAGTGGAAAAACTATATTTAATTATCGTCTCAGTCGTGCTAGACGAGTGACAGAAAATGCATTTGGTCTGTTGAGCCAAATATTTAGAGTGTTCTACCAACCAATAAATATCAACCCGAATACATGCGATGACTTAATAATTGTAACATGTTGTTTACACAACATGTTACGAGATGCCTACTTGGAAAAAAATGGAAAAATTTATTATCAATTTGACTCACAACAACCTAATCCTGACGGAAACATGACGCCCTTGGAACACGAAAGGGGCTTTTTGAGTACAGAAGGACTTGCTGTAAGAGACATTTTCAAAGATTACTTCGTAAATGAAGGAGCAGTACAGTGGCAAACATGAATAGTACTCACTACTCGTACAAACTAAAATATTTTTCAGTTTTAGCACATTTATTTTATTTTTTAAATATTATTTTTGATTAATATTATGTTTATAATTGAATGCTTTCAATGTATACTTTTAATCAAAATTAATATAGTGTTCTGATATCCATAAAATATACCTATACGTTATTTATATTATGTTTAGCTACATCCTGTGGGGTTCTTAACAATGAATAATAATTTGTAATATGAATATAAAAATGAAATTATATTTAGTTTAAATTAGCAATACGGACGGAAGGAGTCAACAAAATCTATATGTTCTATTTCTATATGAATCTATGTGTACATTTAGGTATACGTTTTTGGTTTTTCTGTGATCAATTATAATAATCTTTAAATATCTTAAATTGATTTTGTCGACAATTTAGATTTTACCGTTATCGCTGGAAATAATTGGTTTTATATTTGGAACAAATACTCTAAAATATATATTATAAATAATCTTTTGGTTTATTGAAAATGAAAGTATGAACATATTTTAAAATACACTTGGGTATCAACTAGTTATAGTTTGAAAATTATTAATTATTAAAATTCATAACAAAATTAACAAAATAAAAGTAATTTCCAATAAATCGTAAAAATAAAAATAAAAATAGTCAACTTCTAAAATGATTAAAAAAATATTATTAATTAATATTAATGATATCGAAAGAAAAAATTAGTTAATTGTCATCTTCATAATTGTGCGTCTTGTATAGTTCAAATCCATGCGATGATGACGAAGTGGATGGCGAAGGACTTGGTTGTGCCACGTGACTCTGTTGAGATGGAAATTGATAATCGAAATATTGGGGCTGATATACTTGAGGTTGTGGACCAACTTGTGGTTGAAAGTTAGAATATTTATCTTCCAAGTGGCTGACAAGAGTTAAGATTTGCAGCTTTGCTTCGTTTATGGCACGCGGTGGTAGTTTTTTTACCGTCGTCGAAATACTTTTAAAAAACAGATCTACACTATCCTCATGCTGATTACCAATACTTGAGACTAAAATCTCATTTTGTGCCTGGATTTTAGATAGTAAATTATCCGTTTCTTTTGATCTTTTTGATAATATTGCACTTATTTTATCCTCTTTGGACCTAATCCGTTTTCCCGCGTACGATGATATTGATGGTAAATCTGAACATGTATTTGGAGATTCGAATGTATCCTCGTCGTTTAGCGTATGATTTTGTGTGTCATCTCCGTCTTCAGCAGTTGACAAAGAAATATCATTTTCTTGATTTTTGACGTTTGATGTAGTCCTTTAATTTTTAAACTTTAATTTCAGTACATTATTAATAATTAAAAAAAATATTTTCAATACTTTCTCTCGTATTCAACTGAATCCATAAACGATAAGTATGACAGTGTCCTATTCACTTTTTCAGAAGTTGCTGACCCAGTCGACAGTTTTTTTTTCTGTTTCATATATGTATCTCTTATGTTCCTCCACCTTTTTTTGCAGTCTTCATCTATAAAAAATTAAACTATTTAGGTATACTACTATTAACTAATAAATAATTAATTATTAAACTATTTAAGTATTTAAACTTCTATAATTTAAAAGTTTATAAATAATTATAATAATAACAATTATATAATCATAATTTGTATTTAAAATAAAGTAGTATTTAGTAATTACATTCAATAATATACATTCAATATGATTTTAGTGATCTAATTAATACATAATCAGACAATTATATTGAGTACGTACCTGTTCTACCGACTTTTTCAGAAATAATTTTCCAAATTTTTTCTTTAAAATGAATATCTTTATGCTTAGGGTGAGCACTGTCAAAAATTTCCCTATTTTGTTGGACATATTCAATTAAAATTTCGTCCTCAGTTGAGGAAAAAACAAATTTTTTCGACATTATCAAGCTTTTGACGCAAGAGGTCCGTACGCGACACTAGTCCAGACTAATACTGCGTCCGGACGCACTGCGACATTTACCGACGCGCTGCGTTAAACGCAAGTAGGAAAACAGTCACAACTAAAATGCATGTATCTAGGAACAATGCGTCTGACGCTGCGTTTGGACGCTGCGTCTGGACGCTGCGTCTGGACGCTGCAGGGAAAACGTACCTTAACGCTGATGGTCGATCGTTGCACGGACACGAACACCACGATCGCCGTACCTCACTACCGTACTAAACTTGAACTAAGTAATATTTTTTTTGTGAGAAATAAACACCGGTACGATACAAAACTAAAAGCAAGTGTACTAGTTTCTTCCGGGTGACACCTACCGACTCCGGTACTCCAGACCAGGTTAGGTTATAAATTTATATAGTGATGGTTGATGATGATAAAAATATGTATTACATTTTGAATGAACATATTCACATACATTATTTGCTAGATCTTCTGATTTTGCTGCCCACAAAGAATGAGGGAATATTAATTACATATAATTTTCTGTTAAATAATCGCAAAATTGTACTACTTGGTTATTAGATGGCATAATTATAGGTACCGGCAGTACAGTTTTCAATCGTCGTAGGTACGCATTAACCTAAAATGTTGAATAATATTAATAGAAGTCGTTGAATCAAAATGTAAATCATAGAACTGCTATGACAACAAAATTTATGTTTTTATTTAATGGCATTTTGTTTAAAAATGATAAGTGGTCATGTAATTGTATAAGTTCGTCAATTCGTCATTCAATATAGGTACAGATAAACATATAAAATACTCGTACATTCAAACAAAATTTCCGTGAAATTAATTTTAAAATGTATTTAATGGTTACGTTTAAAAGCAAAAAGTTGTCCATAAACAAATTACCATTTTGGATATGATCCAAGTATGAAGTATATTATAACCTCTTATGTTGTAATAACAACAACCAACGAAAATCAATGGTAAAACAACCGGTCCATACAACCACTTCTGCATGATCCATCTACCTAGCATTAATCTTAATCATTTTTTTATTTAGACGAATATAATATCTTATACGGTAAGTCGGTAAAATGTACCACATTGCACCCGGGGAACAATTAATTTTTAGTTTAACAGAGAAAGGAACGTACATACATACATAACACAATTGCATAATATATTGGAGACGCCCTTCATTTAAGAACAAATCATTTCTTTAACAATCATTACAAACTAGACTGTACATAGTAAATTAAAATTATTCCTTAAACATTAAAACAATTCTTTAAAATTAGTTGGATACATATACCTATTATATACCTACAAATATACTACATGTAAGATAGTTTAAACACAGTTATTATCTCAGGTATTTAGAAAAAACCCGAAATAACTGAATTCATCGAAACAATTTTAAATATCAAGTAACTAAAAAAATTTAACTTTAGATTATCAAAATCTATTAAAAAACAATAAAAAAGAAATGCTTAATAGTTAATTCTAAATTACATGTCTGCAGAACTCAGGGTTAATAAGATACTTTTAGTTTTTCAATTACAATTACAGTAAATTTGGAAATTTTTGCTTAAAAAAAATAATTACTGATACATTTGAGATTCATTCACACATTAATTTTGGTTCAATTGTATGTTAAAATAAAAATAAAAGTTTTGGGAGTACCTAATCGAAAACGTAAATTATGTGTTAATAAAAACCATTGGGATATTAGTGATATTTTCATTTAAGAGCACGTGATACCTGCATGTGTTGTCTCCGTCTTACAAGTGCGTAACATAGCAAATTTTACGCTCAGCAGAACACGTGTAGCTCCGTTAGTTTAAAAATTAGTGCGAATTGACCTCTTATAAAATCTAAAGGTAAGATTATTATCTAGGCAACCTCATAGGCTTTTTATTATATTTTTATTTTAACGCGAGTTATAAGTATTTTAAGATGTATAGAAAATTTACAATTTTAAAATACTCAAAACTCGCGTTAAAATTAAAATATAATAAAAAACCTATGAGGTTGACTAGATAATAATCTTACCTTTAGATATTATAAGAGGTCAATTCGTACTAATTTTTAAACTAACGGAGCTACACGTGTTCTGTTGAGCGTAAAATTTGCTATGTTACGCACTTGTAAGACGGAGACAACACATGCAGGTATCACGTCCTCTTAAGGTTTATTATACTGAATAAACGCTGGTTTAATATATTTTATATTATAAAATATGGGTTTGATTTTGGTAGGTACAAAGTAATATACAAAAAAATACTTTAATACATTATGTAAAATTCAAAATAATATAGCGTACTAGTGTACGACGACTATATTATAAATAAGTATGTATAAGTAGTAAGTACTCACCGCACATGTCGAGAGCGTAGTTCCAGCGTACTTCTATGGATTAAAGTGCACCAGGGATGGCCGGAATGTATTTAAACTGTGTGTTGGCGGGACGGCGGCAGAACAAACTGTGAAAAACTGTGAAAGTGTATTGGCACAATGATAAAATATATCAGACATATTATTATTAATATTATTCTTGTTGTTACCTGTTGTACATCATTATAATGTATAGAGGTAGGTGTGCTGTGTGTATTTGCACACGAACGAGCGTCGGAGAAATTAGTTTTCAGGGAAAACGAGTGAAATTGTGACTGTTGGAAATCGAGAAAATTATTGTTATGATTATTATACAGGATTGCAGGCATTTATAATATTATATTGAACGAATTTTATCTCCGCAACAACTTCTGCGGCAATACATACGCTGTATGCGTTATCTCATACTCATATAACAGATACCGGATAATTTGTAAGAAAACTTTATCGAGAGGATATTGTGAAATAATATCAGGTTGTAAAAATATGAATTTAGTATTAAATTTAATATTTAGTTTAATGTCCAAAATATACGTATAATTAATTAGATTAGCATGATTTAGGAATGCTGTATTTATAATGTTTATTATTTTGATTTTGATTCTATAATTATACCTATATTAAAATATAGAAAAGTTAAATAGTATAAAATGAATTTAGTTCAAAACTTATAAATTAATTATTATGCTAGGTCCTCAAAAATAAATATAAAACATTTAAGTTAGCTTCAATAATTTGCATTATAATTCCATAAATATTGTAATTTTAAAACACATTATACACCAATACGATATTATCAAGATATTGCATTACTCTATGTTACGTTTACAACGTAAAACAAATATTAGATCGATGATATTACTATTGAAATATTAAATGAAATAGCTTAATTTAAAAACATGACGATGAATAACAGTAGAGATTTTCTCGTTAAACCCCTTTTGTAGGTATACGACAATATTTTATTTCTTAATTTCTTATAATATGTAATATTGTCAGCATATTTCAAATGAGTGGTTTTTGATAGGACCCATTTTCAACCAACACTAAAATAGTATCCAGTAAAATTAAATAATACATGCGCAGTGACCTTGCCCAATAATGTGTTTACACTAACACTACTAGTCTATAACATTAACCTAATGTTACAAATTTGAAATTCTACAAATTAGTAAAATATCAGCACATTAAATTAAAGCAATTGTACTTAAAATTAAAGTTTAAGTATGCGTTTGTACACTAACATACACTTTTAATATTCATAAAATGCATATATTATGATTTTTTTTATTCTAAACACATTCTTTTCCATCATTAAAATTACAATAATCAGTAATTTTAAAATATTATTTATCATCATAATCTATTAAACATATGTGCATAAATCATATAAATTATTTAACTAATAAATCACCTAAACAAATTATATACATTAATAACTAACATAAATATTTGGAGTAAACTAAATATTCAAATAATTAAAAATTAGGGCCCCTTTCTATAGCAATAAATAGTAAGTAGGCACATATTATGTAATAAACTAAAAAATAATATCGATAAATAGAATAATTTTTTAATGGTATAGGCTTAAAATACAAGATTTTGAGAATTTTGCTGTACCTATGTGAGTATGATAATTTTAATTAAACAACAATACGATCAATAATATCTACCCATGTATTCTATAAATAAACTATATTATTTTTTTCATAATAGAACCTTAAATAGAACTAAATTACCTACAACATTGAATAATGATGAATGAATGTACATAATTAAAAGTACTAGGTAATTTATTTTAATTTTAATGAATATTAAGTTTTTAAATTAATACAACTCAGATTTCAATACTAAATACTGTAGGTAAACCGTATGTAAATAGTAGATACCTAACTATCTATTATGTACTTCCTCTTTCGCGTTACCAATAAGACTAATACACGACAAATAATACTTTAGCGTAATCCCTCCTTCATCCCCTTAATTAAGTCTCTACAATTACAACCCGAACCATTCGAAAAATTATTCTACTACAATACAATATACATTAACAATAACAATTAACAAAGGTATATTATTCTATAGTCATTATATTTTAGACTAGGCAGATCGTTGTGCCTTTATACCAGCATAATCTAATCTATCGGTAGTCATATCTGCGAAGAAAAAAGCAACGTTATACTGGTTATGGGAAAACTAGTAAATAATAATATACAGTTCCCACCCTAATACCACGCAGAATCTAAAATAAACAGACAAACAGTCAAGAGATTAATCTTTTTACTCTTATCGTTCAATATTTTCTATACAGACAATGCTATGCCGTTTTATAGACGTGTTTACTAGAGCTAACCAGCATGCATATTATTTTTTGACCGGTTAGAATGACGTCTTGTACCCGTTTCTCCTATACTATCTGTGCGGTGGAGATCGTGAATGTGTGCCGACACAAACATAGATTATAAACCATAGGTCTGTAGGTTTTATAAACACAACAATAAACACTCCGGCAACACCTCACACCTGTGTAAATATAATAATATAATGTCGTGTGTTAACATGTCACGTTTGTGTGGACAGATGGCATATGTTATT